AGGTGATTCTGGCCCCTTGAGAGAATGGTCCAGCCAGTACCACGTGCACATCGAAAGCCTGTAAACACTAATTAGATAGATGGGTCTAATCACATATCTGTACTTTTCTTTAGGCTTTTGCTTAGCCTTTCTTCCTTGACCATAGTTTTTCCTTTGAATTATTTTCTTCCCATCTATCCAATGCCAAAAATTGTTTAGACACGGAGCAACTTCTAACCAAAATCTCCATGCCTCATTTTGAGAAATTGGGCTCAGGTCATTTCCTGCTTTGGTCATTAAGAAAATAATCATAGCTGTTATTTGCCCAGTAATCAGAATCCTGTCAAGAAATGCTGTGTGCACTAAGTCTCCGTCATGCTATGGCTGTAATCACTAGTATTAGAATCACAAGCTGGTGACCGGGTTCATCTCTAAAAAATTTCCTGGTGTTTAGAGAGCTTCTAATAGGTGGGAGGCTGGGCTTTCAGAATCAGAGGTTGAACACTGTGCCCTGTGGGTGCCCTTGAAATAGTTATTGAATGACTAATCACTTATTTCATGGGCCCTAAGATAGACAAGATGGCTTCCCGGGCAGGTGCATTTGAAGTCAACTTACACAAAAGGCTGACACTCAGGGAAGCTTCAGCGATAGTCACACACACGTATAATGCCATCTGTACCATATTCTTGACCCACTTACAAATCTGAAGGAAAAAATGAATTGGCAGGAAAATAAAGTAAATAAATTTGTTGTACATGGATGCTGTTTCTGATCCTATTTACTAGAAGGCTGTTCTGGGCAAGTTGTGTTTGTTTTTTTTTAAGATTTATTTATGGGGCTGGTACAGTGGTGTAGTAGGTAAAGCTGCCACCTGCAGTGCCAGCATCCCATATGGGCACCGGTTTGAGTCCCGGCTGCTCCACTTCTGATCCAGCTTTCAGCTACGGCCTGGAAAAGCAGTGGAAGATGGCCCAAGTCCTTGGGCCCCTGCACTCACGTGGGAGACCCAGAAGCTCCTGGCTTCGGATCGGCGCAGCTCTGGCCGTTGCGGCTAATTGGATGAAAGACCTCTGTCTCTCTCTCTCTCTCCCTCTCTTTCTCTCTCTCTCTCTGTGTAACTCTGACTTTCACATAAATAAATAAATATCTTTAAAAAAGATTTATTTATTTGAGAGGCAAGTTACAGACAGAAAAGAGACAGAGAAAAAGGTCTTCCATTTTCTGGTTCACTCCCCGAATGTCTGCAACGGCCAGAGCCAGGTCGATCCAAAGTCAAAGCCAGGAGCTTCTTCCAGTCTCCCATACAGGTGCAGAGGCCCAAGTACTTGGGCCATCTTCCACTGCTTTCTCAGGCCACAAGCAGAGAGCTGGATCAAAGTGGAGTAGCCGGGACTCGAACCAGCACCCATATAGGATGCCAGTGCCACAGACGGAGGCTTAGCCCACTATACCACAGTGCCAGCCCCAAGATTTTGTGTTTTATGGATAAAACTTCCATGATCGAATTATTGAAGCTTGTAAGCCATCCAGCTCCCCACGTTACAGGCCATTGCATCAGGGGAAAGGAAATCTTAAGCTGATTCATGCTGACATTGCTTTTTTTTTTTTTTACGATTTTATTTACTTATTTGAAAGTCAGAGTTACACAGAGAGAGAAGGAGAGGCAGAGAGAAAGGGAGAGGTCTTCCATCTGCTGGTTCACTCCCCAGCTGGCCAGCTGATCTGAAGCCAGGAGCCAGGAGCTTCTTCTTGGGTCTCCCACACAGGTGAATGGGCCCAAGGATTTGGGTCATCTTCTACTACTGTCCCAGGCTATAGCAGAGAGCTGGATCAGAAGTGGAGTGCTGGGACTCGAACCGGCGCCCATACGGGATGGCAGCACTGCAGGCGGCAACTTTACTCCCTATGCCACAGTGCCGGCTCCCTGCTTTTCTTCTGAAACATGAGGCTTTATTCCCTTGGTGCCCCCTGTTTCTTATTGTGACTGTCAGTTTTGATGGCTTAATTTTCAGTTATTAGTACTGTGACCATGCGAACGATGTTTATTTACTCTGCAAACGAGTTCCAAGAAGAGCGTCTTATTAAGATCTGTGGGAGCTTCAGGGATGTTTGAGACATAATCCCTGCTTCAGGAATTTAGAGAGTGGACCATTTTGTGTTGGAAATACGACGGAGAAAATGTCATAAAAGGTTACATACTAATGTTAACAGGAGCTTGAGAGCGCACATTATCTGTGATCTGCCAGTTTCAATTCATTTGGATACGCACACCCAGAAGGGTGATTGCTGGTCCTCATGGGATTTCTATTGCTAGTTTTTTAGGAACCTGCATACTATTTTCCAAAACAGCTTGGCTGATTTACGTTCCCCCAACAGTGTACAAGAATTCCCTTGTCTGCACATCCTCCCCAGCATTTGTTATCATTCATCTTTTTGAAAATAGCCCAGCAAACAGGTGTGAGGTGATCTAATTGTGGTTCTGATTTGCATTTCCCTGCTGCTGAGTGCTGTTGGCCATTCTGTTCTCCTTCTTTGTCATTTATTTATTTATTTATTTAAAGGCACAGTGACTCACAGAAGGAGAGGGAGACAGAGACTGAGACTGAGAAAGAGGGATTGTCCATCTGCTGGTTCATTCCTCAAATGGCCCCAACAGCCAGGGCTGGGCCATGCTGATTTCTGTAGCCAGGCATTCCATTCTGGTGCCTCATATGGGTGGCAAGGGCCCAGGCACTTAGGCTGTCCTCTACTGTCTTCACAGGCACATTCACAGGAAGCTGGATTGGAGGTAGAACAGCCGGGTTAGAACCAGCGCACCAATGTAGCATGCTGGGATTGCAAGCTGTGGCTTAACCTGCTGGCTCACAATGCTGCCCCTTTTTTGTACATTTTAAAAATCAAATTGTTGCTTTGCTGTAGATTTTCTTTCCTTATAGTCTCATGTTAGTTTGTTTTGCTGTTGATTTCAGTTTCTTACATTCTCACTTGATCTTAGGCAAAAGGCCGAGAAGTGATCCTTATATTCTCATGTTAATTTCAGCATTACTCATCATAGCCAAGCTAGGGGTCCAATAGTGGATGAACAGATGAAGAATATGGGGTGTACATATATACATATATATACAAAATATTGTACAGCCTTAAGAAAAAGGACATTATGTCATTTACAACAATATAGATCATAACTGGAGGGTTTTTTGCTACATGAAGAGGGCACAGAGAGACAAATATTATATGATCCTACTTACATGTAGAATTTAGAAAAAACTGATCACATAGAAACAGGATAGAAAGGTGCCTAGCAGGGGAATGAGGGCAGCAGGTAGAGTAGGGTTGGGGTTGGGATTGGGGAAACGGGAGAGAACACGTTAGTGATCTTTTGAACTGCGAGGTAACTAAAGTTAACAATAATGTCTGCTCATATTTTGAAATTGCTGAAAGAATCGATTTATAATGATCCTACCACAAAGATGATAAGTAGTGAGGTGGTGAATATGTTCATTAGCTCAATTTAATCTCTCTGCAATGTGTATGTAGATCAAAGCACATTGTACTGAATAAAAATACACAATTATTATTTGTCAGTTAGAAGTAATTTTTAGAGAAGTTTTCTCACTGGGTTCCATGAGTGTCCTCTGTGCACAGGGACTGGACCTTGAAACATCTTTACCTCTCCAATGTCAAGTTCAATCTGGCAGGGCCTTCAGTTCATTGCTGGGTGAAGAGGAAACAGGACGACCACTTACAAGACGGAGAGTGTGACGGGGAAGGCTCGGTGGGCCCTGTGGACAGGAGTAATGAAGCTTCCAGGTGGAGGTGGGATTGTGGGATTGTGTAGCACAGTGCAGATATTAGAATCAGGGTTCACTGGGCCCACCGGGATCTCAGATGGGTTGGTGACTTTTAACCATGTGCCAGTCCACCGGACAGTAGTGGAGAGCCATAGGCCTTACAGTAAGATATATCTCAGTGCTTTTTTAAAAAAACATTTATTTATTAATTTGAAAGGCAGAAATGGAGAGAGAGAGAGAGAGAGAGAGAGAGAGAGAGAGAGAGTTTCCATCGACAGGTTCACTCCCCGAATGGCTGCAACAGGAAGGTCTGGGCCAGGTAGAAGCCAGGGGCCCACAGGATTGGGGCATCTTCCACTGCCTTCCCAGGTGCATTAGCTAGATCAGGAGCCAAGCAGCCTGGCTCAGTTTCTTCTTCCTCTTCTTCCTCTTCCTCAGGAGCCAAGGATCCTGGCTCAATTTCTTCTTCTTCTTCCTCCTCCCTCTCCCCCTCCCCCTCCCCCTCCATCTGAAGCCAGGAGCCAGGTGCTTCCTCCTGGTCTCCCTTGCGGGTGCAGGGCCCAAGGACCCGGGCTATCCTCCACTGCCTTCCAGGCCACAACAGAGAGCTCGACTGAAAGAGGGGCAACTGGGGCAGAACCGGCGCCCCAACCGGGACTAGAGCCCCCAGGCGGAGGATTAGCCAAGTGAGCCGTGGCGCCGGCCTCAATTTCTTCTTAGAAGTGCTGACAATTCCCTGGCTGAGTGCTACATGCTCAGGACCAGGCATCCGAGGCCCTGGCTCTGTCACCTGCTCACATCACCTCCTCTCTGGGAAATGAGAGGCTGTTCTCGACTACAGCGGGCCCTTGCCACATTTGGCTATGAAATGTGTTTAGTGCCTGTAAAACACACTCTGGATTTCAAATTAAAAAAAAAAAAAGGAAACCATTCTATGAATAAATGCAGTATCGATGACATTTTGAACTAATATTTTGCACGCATTAGGTTAAATATATTTTAAAAATAAATGCCACCTGTTTCTTGTTGCTCTTTGGATGTGGCTCCTAGAAAAATCGACATTACATTTACAGCCCGGAGCAGAGATTCCCTACAGATTCCTTTCCGCTTTAAGGCCGCCAGAGTCACGGCGGACACGTAATTGGTTCCGTTTGATTTCCTTGCATTGCGCGGGGTGGGGCGGAGCCCATCACCAAAACACCGGCCCCCAGGGCTTGGGCTCGCGCTCCCGCAGCGGGAAAGACCCCGACTCCCGCGCGGGGTGTGGGCGCGCGCGTGCGCCGCCCGGCGTCCGCGGGGCCGGAGCGATCCGGGTTCCGGGGGGCGGGCCGGGGAGCGGGCCGGTGCGTCAGCCTCACGCGCCGGGAAGGAAGCCGGCCCCAGGCCCCGGCGGCCGGCGCGGGCGCCGCGGCACGTCCGCAGGCTCCGCTGGGAGGTGGCGGCCGCTGAGAGGCGGGAGAGCCGAGGGCGGGCCGGGGAGGCGGCCCGGAGGTGGGGCGCCGCCGGGGGCCGGCCCGTGCGGGCTTCATCTGAGGGCGCGCGGCCTGCGCCCGGGTGCTGGGGACGCTGAGGCGCGGGCGACGAGCTGGCGGAGCGGCTATGGGCCGCGGCCGGGGCTTCCTGATCGGCCTGCTGGGCGCCGTGTGGCTGCTGGGCGCGGGCCGCGGCGGGCAGCAGCCGCCGGAGACGGCGGCGCAGAGGTGCTTCTGCCAGGTGAGGGCGTGCGCCTCGGTGCCGGTGGCCGCGGCGCGCCGGTGAGGGGCTGGGGTGCGTCTTCGCGTGTCCTCCGGAGGGAACGAGAGCGCCGGGCCGGGGCTGAGGGCTGTGCGGCTCGCCTGGGTGGGCGAGGACCGGCCCTCCGCCGCCGCAGCCCGGGAAGCGGCGCGCCTTTGCGCGCGCTGCGGGCCGGGCGAGGGGCGTGGGTGCCCCCTCTTGGGTCTTCCTCCGTTGCCTTCTGCACCTGTGTGGGCCTGCCCCGCCGGGAGAGGGCGAGCGCTGTGTGCACGCTCACGCAGCGTGGGCTTCTTTCACAGAACCGGGGTCTTACTGACATGACCTGGAACGTGTGGACCCCGTGTCCGTGCCGGGTGCCCGCAGCAGGTTTCCTGGCCACCACGGCCTTCTGTAGGGGCGCTGCTTTCTGATGTGGTCGTCGGGGGTGGGCAGCGTGGCGATGTGCGGCTCTTCTGTGTCCCAGGGCAGCTTCCTCGGGTCTCTGGGGCTGCGGTCGCCCCGTGCCTCTGTGTAGTAGGATCCTGTAAGGGTGACACCCATGTGTCTGGTCCTTGGTCTTCCAATGCACACATTCGGTCCCTGCCTTGTTACGATCATTTCCTTCGCTGAGTAAGAGTCGTGGGTTTCTTGAGCAAAAACAATTCAAAGAAACTTAGAGGTTTCCTGTGTCAGGATCTCGCATTGCAGCATCGTTACTGTTCTTTAAAGCCTTTTTTTTTTGGTTGACTTCTATTGGGAGACAAACCTACATTGTACACAAAACCGAGGGGTAGGCGTCGACATGGTTTTCAGTGGATTTTATCGTCCGTTTTTGGATGATCAGAAGTAAAACGTTTATGGGTGGAGAGGTTGGAGAAATGAAGCGCTCTAAGGAACACGAGGGGGGAGAGGATCGCGTCTCTCACGGCTTGAGTTCTGAAATGATGTTTTGCTGAGTGATTTGGGGGTGGAAGTGGGTGTCGACCGGGAACCTGCAGGGTGTACAGCTAACACGGAACAGCGCTTACACCTTCCGTGATGGCCAAGGGCGCCCGGGCAGGGGTTTCTCAGGCGAAAGGGTCGTTTTTCTTCTCATTACAGCTACAGCACGAAGTTTCAACATTAAGGAACTCGAAGGGGGGGTGTTTGGCACTGAGAGGTGTTCAGTGTTAACACTTTCAGCTGCGTTCTGGGGGTTTGGGTAGTGGAATAAAAGTATAGGCTGCACTCTGCCGTTTTCACTTCTCCCTCAGTCTCCTCTTCAGAGCTCTGCTCGCAATTGGGCAACTTTCAGTTTTTAGCGTTTTCCTTTTTCTTCTCACTAGTGCCCGAGCACCCCCTCGCTCCCCTTTGCAGTGTCCACAGAGTTAAATACTCTCCCAACACAAAAATCTGTTAGGCTCCTTACTTTTCCTTCTAGAACAAGAGGAGGTCTTTTTTTTTTTTTTAATTTTAATTTTAAATTTTTTGACAGGCAGAGTGGACAGTGAGAGAGAGACAGAGAAAGGTCTTCCTTTACTGTTGGTTCACCCTCCAATGGCCGGCGCACGGCGCTGATCCGAAGCCAGGAACCAGGTGCTTCTCCTGGTCTCCCATGGGGTGCAGGGCCCAAGCACTTGGGCCATCCTCCACTGCACTCCTGGGCCATAGCAGAGAGCTGGTCTGGAAGGGGCAACCAGGACAGAATCCGGCGCCCCGCCCCGACCGGGTCTAGAACCCGGTATGCCGGCGCCGCAGGCGGAGGATTAGCCTATTGAGCCGCGGCGCCGGCTGTTTTTTTCTTTTTATATATATATATATGTATTTTTATGGTCGGTGTTTAAAACAAAAAGTTGGAGATCATTAACTAAAAATAATTTTAAGAGAAATTAACAATGCTGTTCTCAGGGCAGGTGTTTGGTGCAGTGCTTTTAAAACAGACTTGTACTGCCCACATCCCAGATGGGAGGGCCTAGATTTGAGTCCAGATTCCAGCTTCCTGCTAGTGTTCACCTCGGGAGGAATTAGGTAATGGCTTTTGTATTTGGGTCCTGTCATCCACATGGAAGACCTGGATTGGGTTCCTGTTTCCTGGCTTCAGCCTGGCCCAGTTCCTGCTGTTGTGAGCATTTGGAGAGTGAACCAGCAGATGGGAAATACCTATCTGTCAAAATAAGTAAATAAATAAATAAAAAAAGGTAAAAAGGTCTACAAAACTTAAGAACAAAAATGATCAACTTCAGTTCAATACATGAAGCAAATAAAAGTATGTTAGTTTTTTTTTTTTTTTTAAGATTTGTTTTATTTATTTGAAAGGCAGGGTTACAGAGAAAAGCAGAGACAGAGATCTTCCATTCGCTGGTTCACTCCCCAAATGGCCACAACTACTGGGCCAAAGCCAGGAGCCTCTTCTGGGTCTCCCAGTGAGTGCAGGGGCCCAAGCACTGGGGCCATCGTCCACTGCTTTCCCAGGCCATTAGCAGGGAGCTGGATTGGAAGTGGAGCAGCTGGTAGTCAAACTAGTGCCCCCTGGGATGACGGCGCTGCAGGCCCTGGCTTTAACCCGCTGCACATAGAGCTGTCCCTGTTAAGTTCTATAATGGCCAGTATTAGAAGAGATGAAGGTGAGGGGAGAAGTGAGTGGGTGGACAGTGATGAATGGCCATGCAGAATATAGAGACAAGCATACAGAGAGAAATGCACAGAAGGGCAGAGAGACGAGAACTGCGGAAAGAAGAGACAAACGGCGCAAAGCATTCGTTCAGCATTTGTAACCACTGTGTACACTGATCTGAGTGTTTGGGATACCAGTCACTGGACTGACCTCTGCCCTGAAGCACCTCCAGTGTGGTGAATAGTGTTCAGTGGAAATCAGTGAGAGGCCCAGATCCTAAGCACTTAAGAAAGCAAGTAATTGCTAGAAATTAAAAACTAAACATTCTACTGACGTTTGGACATAGGAGACCGCGTGTTCTCTGGTACTATTTATAACGTCCAGTGAGCTGCAAAGCTCTGTGGATTCTGTTTGTTAGTAGTCTTATCTTTGCTCTCTTCCTGTTTCCTGTCCCTCTTAGCACTTCTTCCTTGGGTTACTGCCATTGCTTCATCGTCACACTCTGTTACACGGGTGCTGGTATCTGCCCTGACTTGAGCCAGAGCAGCATCTAGCTATTCAACTTTGAAAGTCATTGCAGTAAACTGTGTAGTATTCTACAAGTAATCAGATGAAGTTCAACAAGCATTTGTTGATGCCAACTGTTCACAAGTTGTGAGAAATCAACAGAATCAATTACAGAGTGGTCTTGAAATTCCAGATCACTGAGCTTGTTAATAATTGGAGAGATTACAAGCAAGATGTGAGCACTATGCCAGTGGGATTATTGAAAATATTTTTCTGCTTTGCAGACCATATACATGTTTTTCTGGTATTGATCTTTCAAGTGGGTTGCTGACTCTAGATGAATCTTTCAACTTATTTACTGTATGTATCTATGGGTTGATATCAGATCCCATTGAAACCAATTTTTTTAAAGATCTATTTATTTATTTGAAAGAGTCAACATAGAGAAAGAAGGAGAGAGAGAGAGAGAGAGGTCTTCCATCCACTGGTTCACTTCCCAACTGGCTGCAACGGCTGGAGCTGTCCCAATCTGAAGCCAGGAGCTTCCTCCGGGTCTCCCACGTGGGTGCAGGGGCCCAAGGACTTGGGCCATCTTCTACTGCTTTCCCAGGCCATAGCAGAGAGCTGGGTTGGAAGTGGAGCAGCTGGGAGTGGAACTGGTGCTCATATGGGATACCGGCACTGCAGGTGGCAGCTTAACCCACTATGCCACAGCACAGGCCCCATATATTTTTATTTATGTTAGTTGGAAAAATAAAATATTTTATTGGGGCCGATGTTGTGGCGTAGCAGGTAAAGCCACTGCCTGTGATGCTGGCATCCCATATGGGTGTTGATTTGTGTCCCAGCTGTTCCACTTCCAATCCATCTTCCTGCTAATTTCCTGGGAAAGCAATGGAAGATGGCCCAACTGTTTGGGCCCCTGCACCTATATGGGAGACCTGGAAGAAGCTCCTGGCTTTGGACTGGCCTAGCCTGGCTGTTGTGGTCATCTGGGAGTGAACCAGTAGATGGACGATCTCTCTCCCTTTTTCTCGCTCCCTCTCTGTAGCTCTTCCAAAATAAATAAATCTTGAAAAAAAAATTTTTAAAATCACTGTTAGTATGGTTAGTACTAGCAATACCCAGAGCCACTTACTTGAGTGCATTAAACCTGTCAGGTTAATGAAAGGTAAGTAACTCAGATAATCCAAAAATGGATTGTTTTTAATTTGGAGTGCACAGTGGATAGGCTCAGCAAACATGTATTTTAGCAGATTTAACTTGTCAAGTGTCTTGTTAGCTCAGTGTTTTTAGCATGATGTTAATTGCTAGCCCAAGTGACTGGGCCATGGGAGGGACATTGGGTACTGTTGGGTGGGGGATAGAAGTAAGTCTAGGATTAAAACTTAGACCTAGGGATCTTTGAAACAGGTTCTGCTGGGGAGGTGTCCATTGATGGAGTGCCAGCTCCATTCCAGACTTTTCTGAATAAAGCTTGTAGAAGAAGCACTCATTTTCGTGGTGGTTACCATTCTTTGAATCAATTGGCGACAATTTAAAGTTATAGTAAGACTGAGACTTTAAGGCAGAAATAACTCTTAGCATTCCGTGTCCTTAGTATGTGCCTGTACTACCTGGTATAGCATCTTTGGTATTTCCCTTGTTAGAGTTGTCCTAGTGTGCTGTGAGTCCTGGGTTTCATCCTGAATATCTGCTAGCTTTTTTTTTTTTTTTACCTCAGTCTCCCCTTTCTCCTCTCACAGTAACTATTGTTTCATTCTTTGTATTTGAGCTTTTTAAAAAAAGATCTATCTATCCCATTCTAGTTATCAGTGAGATCTTATAATGTTTGACTTTCTGTGTCTGGTTTATTTCATTTAGCATAATCCCATTTGTGCTGAGGCAAATGGCAAGATTT